AGACAGTATGGTTCTTCAGTTCTAACTCCTACCCGCTCTGTGTGGCAGCGGACTTTTCCGCTCGAAGGGTGGAACCGACGGTGAGTTTATTTCTTGCGCTGTCCTGATCTTCTCGAGGGGTTTCTGACACGATGTCGAAACCGCTAGAGTTGATGAGGCGCTTGGTGGTGTAGAGCGTAAGTCTAACGCTTGAAACACGTTCAGGCCTCTGAAGACGACGATTCAGTCGAAACGTTAGGCCATTAATAAATGTTCCACCGAACAACCTCGTAAGGCACAAGAAAATTGTTAAACTTACAACTGAAACTAGGAATTTGATAGAGTTGTCTATTATCAACTATGTATGCTTTGCTGATCGCGGCGCTTATGTCCTCAGAGGGAACATCCGAAACAAGGCCGAGGGTAGCTGATATAGGACCAAGCCCAGAAGAGGGAGCAAACGTCGGATAGATCCCAAATTGCTCACACCCTCCCCAAAATCTCTACCATGTCCTAATGTTTAGTACCGCTTCTTTCAAGTGCAATAATTGGCTCACTTAGGTGAATGTATCCCCTCTCCCCCAACGACATGAGCGCTCAGATTGCTATAACAGCACTATGCTAGTTCCTTCCCATCCTTACATTCCTTACTATCACGGCTGTCCTTTAATCTCCATGTGTTGGAACGTAATTCAATCGCAGAACCTTGCGGATTTTATCCGCGATCTGCACACGCTTTGACGTGTTGACTGCAAAAGCTTGTGAAGATCTGCCTCGTCCGGATCGCCGCGCAGTCCGCCGCGCGATTTGCCGCGTGAGAGCCCGGACGAGCCAAAAGTCCGTCGCCCTTGTGTCTGTGCGTTTCTGCTATGGAATCATTATGTCCTAACTCACAGCTTGATGTCAGCTTTCAATGTTCAAAACTTTGAATCAACTGGGAACAAAAATAACCTTATTTACAGAATGGTTCTTCAGAAAATCTTCTCGTTCAGGATCGTCAAATTCATCTGCTCTCAGCAAACGCTCGCTATGGGAGTGGGTTGGTTCGGAACACCAAGAAAATCTCATCATTCAGTCCATGAGGGCTGCTCCCTAAAAGAAGAATTGAAAACAGATTTGCTTGCAAGCTTTTGAAAAAATTCGCTCGGTTATCAGGATTGTGATTCAGGATCAATCATGACCAGAGATCTTTATGGTAATGATGAACAAGCTCCATGAAAGTCTGCACGGCTAGATTTAGGTGTGACTTCGGTGAAGATGCATGCGTAGTACAATATTCTAGCAGCACAATCTAGAACATGAGCGCAAAATTTTTGATTAGGCACAGTTATTTGCGAAGCTCACAAATAGAGCAGCTTATGAACTAAAAATCATGAAAACCGGAGAAAAGTTTGGCATGGCAAGTTTTGTACACCACCATAGCCTGTGGGTACAACTTTTCAAATAGAGCCTTGCACAGAAAGCCATGCTTTAGCAAATATCCACAAAAGGGACATGAGGAAACAGAGTTTTGACCAGGTTTGAGGCCTACGTAGCATTTTCCAGGCGCTTGCCTATTCCCATTCTTAACGAACGGGGGGGGTCGTATTTTGATGAGTTTGTAGAGGGGGGGGGTCGTACTTGCTTCGGTTGTAAGAAGTTGCATGTGATGAGTGGGGAGCGGCGCGGGAGAAAATTTGCCGTTTCAGCGCGCGTATATACCTCCCTCCCCCCCCTCGACGGTAATTTTTTGGGGTAAAAATTGTTTTGAAAGAGGGGGTCGTATGAAACATTTCATGAGGGAGGGGGGTCGTAAAAAAACTTTTGGAAAAGTAGCAACGATAGGACCGACCCTGTATCGGATATGTGTTAGGTAGTCCTATACCATGACCAGCTTCGAGCAAAGTGGGTAGTGACATTCTGAAGGCCAATCGTACACAGCTTGTTTGAGGACAACAGAATTA